TGCTATCAAACTTTTAAACTGTAGTAAAAAAAAAAAAGAAAAGACAGCGGCAATCCATGTTGGTCTTGGCCCCACTTAGATTTTTCATTAGCACTTTAATTTGGTCAAAAATAAACAGAAAATTAATTACACTTATTAAACACTTGCACATTACAAGTCACATTCCCCCATACATACACAAGTTCACAGAATTAGGGGCTTCGTGGGGTTTAGCATCTTAAGTGCCCCACATACTCGGGCGCACTACTCCGTGAGCCGCGCGGACTCCGTGTGCACTGTCCGCAGACGGTTGAGACATCATATTTGAGCATACGGATTTTAATTCTCTCATGACAAATTCCTTCATTTCTCAAGATTTCAGTCATGGCGTCAACAGACGAGGAGGAAGAGATCGCTTGCCTCTTGGCAATAAAAAGAAAAGAAAAGAAGGTGGGACATAAACCAGACCAGGGGTAAAGAAGGGGAATTTACTACACTGTTGAAGAACATGAAGACAATGGACAGCGAGAAACATCTGGAATATTTTCGAATGGATTCTAGCAAGTTCGATAAAACTAGTTGGGCAGGGCAGCCACCGCACACCTGCCAGCGCTGCACAGAGAGCGGTAGTCCGTATCCTTGCGACTGGTTGCTTGGAACACAGTTGGTGTCGCATACAAAACAGTTCGATGTGAACACCTTTTCTTGCCGGGAAGTTTATTGTGTGACACCGAGTACGCAGTCATAAAAATTGATCTTTGCGCAGACGTGGCCGGCAGATGTCCGCTTTGAGTCCGCCTCGAGTACGCACGGATCTCCGCAGAGTGAACTACGCCTGAGTATGTGGGGGCCTTTACTGGCCACTTCAACCAGCGAAGCAGGAGCTGGGATTGAACTGCCAACCTTACAGCTGGTATATAGCTGATGAGCACTGTTCTTCCTGAGCCATAGCCACCCACACAACCAGAACCTTTCGCCAAACTGAGGCCAATCAGATAGCTTCAACAGGTTTCAAATTTCTCCACAGAATCCCACTTCTATGGATCTGAACTATCTCTTTAGAATACGTTGAATATATATTTTTTACTTCATGAATGATGTACCGGATTATAGAGCTATAGAGTGCAGGTCTGACCAGCTGAGCTGCTTGTCATTTCTCCATTGATTACCCATTAATTAGCACAAAGACAGCTCAGGTTTGCTTAAGAATTGTCACTGTAATTGCCTGTAATGTTGGCAAACAATGAGGCCTAATGCAAACTCTGAGAGAAGGCGGGGGGGCTACTTATCACACTGCCTTTGTCATGTAATCTTTTAATTGTATTTCATGCATAGATCAGGTTGGGGTGTCAATAGCCCAATGAGAAGAGCAGGTGATATCAGCACCACAAAACCAGGGAGGGACTGTTGTGCAGTGTGGGGGTGGGCCTGATGGGGTTATTGTTTGAAGTCGCTGTTCATATGGGCCAGAGAAGGTAATTAACACCTCAGCCAAACAGCAAGCTGTGTGGCCCATTTGTTTTCTATTGGGGGGTAAAAGAAAACAATGGGGAGGGGTTCTCCACACAGTAGGTGATTGACATTATCTGCTGGAGCGATCCGTGGAGGCATTCCTGCAGCTCTGCTATTTACAAGCTAGGCAAAGCCATTTCACAAGTGTGACGCCTCGTTTGAGCTGCCACTTTAAACTGATTTAGTCCTTTATTTGTTGTTGCTCCTACCTGCTTCACTATTTTGGTTCATCATGCAAAGACACATAGCCAGCTTGGGATAGCTATTAGATGTATTTATTTGATCTAAAAAAGATCGCTTAAACTGTTATCAGAGTAACAGCTCTTGCCGCAGCTCTTAAACTGACAAATAGTTGTTAGCAAAGTTTGGGATTGTTTTGTGTCCCCTTGGCAGAGAGTCTGACTTAGTTTCACAGCAAATGTCCAGACATCTGTCTCTTCTCCGCGCTCTGATGTCAGCTTGCAGTATGGCACCGCACACTTCAGAGATGACAAAGACTCTTGGCCGTGTTTTCCCCTGCTCTGTGAGAGCGATGTAACAATTAGAACCCAGCGATGGCAGGCCACATGCCCCAGAGCATATGTTGCATTCTCTCTGTTCAAACAACCAAAGGGCTCCAGTGTAGACTTTTTGGAAAAATTCACAGGCATCATTGCCACCTTTGTCGCATGTGGGTCCTGTAAAAAGTAGCACATGCTACTGATGTCTATTCTGAGTGTTGGAGTCAGTGGGTGGAAGCTGGAAGACAATTAGAGAGTGATGAAAATGGATCAGCGAAACTTCACTTTGGATTCTGGATTCTTTCAGTTCTCCGTCCGAGCGCATTTACCAGAGTTTCCAGGTCGCAGGCTGAAGCAGGCCTTTCTGTGAGCCCTCACCATATGTCTGTATTTATTTCTAATAAAACAAGGCCATGTGTAAAGCATTACCAAAAGCCCTGCAGTTGAGTTGTTATTGGTTTATCTCACTTTCAATCTTTTGCAAACATCTAAAATCACTTAAACCTTGGCATAACTGTTTGAATAATCTAGTTTTTATTGTCCCACAAATTTTTTTTCCTGACACTTTTTAAAAAATTTTAACACTTAAGAAAGTTTTTTCTTTCCTTTTTAGCTCACAATTCCTCATCTTTTGTTTCACGAAACAGCACCCAGGCACCCCTCCCTCTCTCTTCCTCATGTCCCAGTGAGTGTTGCTCGAGTCTGGACGGGAGCTAATGTGACAGTGTGCGGCTGGTGTTACCTAGCGGGATGTTTCGGAGAGTGTGTGAACAGTTGCTACACGGGGCACACTGGCAATTAAAAGAAAAGTAGGTGCTCAGGGAGAAAAAAAAGCGCCTGGGGGCATGTTCCTCAGCACTGGCAAAAGCTGTCAAAAACAGGGATGGATCTGGGTGGGAGAGCCGGGGTGGGCACGGATGGACCTGACCAAACGCTCACAGCAGCGCTTGTTTCATTTGTGGAAGGACTCATGATTGACATAGATTAGACGGAGAAAACTGCATTGTTTTGGATTTTCCCTCCAGAGAGTAGCATTCATTAGGCGCTCTGCACAGAGCAGAGGAAAGTTTCAATAGGGAGCGAGCAGCCTTTAAAAGCAACTGCCTCCTGACAGTTGTATGGACTTGGGCCCATTAGTTGGAACCTGCGATTCAGCCTTGAGCAGTGTAGTGAAAATGAAGAGGGCTGATGTCAACTCTGAGAATTCCCCCCTTTTCGAAGGGAAAAAGGGACCCCCTTCCCCCTGCCTCGGCGCTCTGTTGGACCCCAGCTGTCAGGAAACAATACCCTGCGCCTGCTCCAACAAACTCATTCCTGAAAATGTTTTTTTTTTCTCCCCTCCTCTCCCTTTCCCCCACTCCTGCTATAATGTCTTTTCCATTTTAACCCACAGTCACCCAACCTTCCTTCCTCCTTACAAACTGAGTGACGAATGGAGTTTTAAAAATCAAAAGCTGAATGCATGACTCCTCCAGTTTGCTTGTTTGTCGTCATTTATCCTGCACACTTCTGAAGAGAAGACAATGCTTTGCATATATTCTTTAGTTAGATTTGTCTTCTTTGTGGGGGGGGGGGGGGGGGATGTCAGATTATTGTCTTTCCTTATTCATCAAGTGCTTACAAAGGATGAATGTTAAAATGTTCGTGCAGAACAATTCAAACGTGAAACGACAAAACGCAACCAGAATTTATTCACTTTGCAAGCACAAAAGGCAACTTCGATAGTACGTTGACACCTTAATGCATACACTCAAGGTGGATCTGGAGACGCCAAACAGTTTCAATAATAAAACACCTTTTTAATTAATTTGAATAAGGACCAGAGAGAAAAATCCACATGCACGACAAGCTGCTGTTTCCGGTATTAAAACTGATTCATAAACCAGATGGTTGCTGTGCTTTTGGAGCTCTGGACTCAGGCTATCATCACTGCTGGAGGACAAATACAAAAAAAAAAAAAAAAAAAAAGTTCAGCTTGTCTCAAGCAGTAAATTAAAAAAGCTTCTTTTCTGATTTGATTATGCAGCCGCTAAGAAAGAGCAATAACTGGGCAGACGGTTGTACATTTTTTTTGCGATCAGTGACTAAACAGAGGAAAAGCATCAGAGCCAGAACTCCAAATGATAACTTTCACACATGGGGGAATTATAGTGACGGTGGAAGGAGGAGGGGCTGTTTTTGGGTCACAAAGCCAAACGTATGGATGAGGATAGTAGGGAGTGGACTTGTAGTTTGCAGATCTGTACATGAGGCTTTCTTCCAGCTGTCTCTTCCCACCCTCGCAGCGATGGGCGCCCACAGCTGGCCTCTTGTTTTTCTTTGACAAAGTGCAATTTCACAGTCCCCCACCAGTCCGCTGTGTTCACATCGCTCTTCCTGCTCGCTCCTGTGCCAGAACTCACTGTCTTGACTTCCAGCAGCAGAAATGTGGTTCTTGTACAGGTGTTTGCTGGAGTTCTTTGTGGGTTTGACACAATTCAGAGCATTTCTCAAGGAAGAGATAAACCACCAGCTCGCATACGAGTGATTTCTACACTTTTTAGCCTCTTTAAGTAGCTGCAAGAAAATCCCACCAAACAAGACATTTGGATGAACTTCAGGCCAAATTTAGTAGGGAAAATACAAATTACATACATATATATAGAGATTGTTAGATTTACAAACCCTGAACTGAGAAGAGTTTCACGTTCCAGACACCTACAACTAGTCTGTGACTATTTTAAGAGAAACATTGTTGAACACATTTTTCTAACACGTTGAACATTCCTGCATGTCCCTCTGACTCGCTCACTAAAAACCCTTGCATATGTTTCAAGGCATCATGGGAACTCCCTCATGAATGCCTTTTTGCAAGTTATCCACTATAGAAATAGAACAGTGCAGTACTAGTCTTACATTCAGTATTTTTTGCCCATTTCTGTACTTTCTTACATACTGCAGATGTATTATACTGTATGCACGCGTGTCTGGGTTTGTTGGTAAATGTTTCTCTTCTTCTCTAACCAACAGTATCTGCAGATGAAATGGCCACTCCTGGACATTCCCACCTCTGCAGGGATAAAAGATTCTCGTTCTCCAACGCCAGGGCACTTGGTATGTACGCTCTCAATGCGAAACATGGAATACGATGAAATCTGTCCAAAGGAAAAATAACAACATAAAAACAAGTGCCAACTTAAATCAGTAGTTCAGACTCTCTAAGTGTGTTTCTGTGAAAAGGTTATGAACAGTTAATATCTCACCTGTGGTAGATAGCTGTTGGTACGTCCTCAGTTTGGACCAATAGTTTATTTCTGACTGGATTGATGAGCTAACAGCTAATCTGAGTGAAGCAAAGAACAAAGTGAATTCCAACAAAGTTCAGTTAGGTCTTCTGAGCGGTTTCTTTTTTTTTGGTTGTTGTGACGTTTCGTCCTTCATCCAAAGGACTTCTTCAATCAGAGGAGCCACAAGCAAGCTCAGTCCCACAAACAGCACACTCACACAGTGGACCAACCAGTTTACTGGTGATAACATGGTTTCTGGAGTCCGCCCTCTCCCCCGTCGACTTCTTAGAAGCAGTCATAGCCAAAGTGGTTCAAAACATCAAAGTTCAAAAATAAATTAAATGGAAATGCTATGAACAATAAATATCTCACCTGATGTAGATAACAGTTTGAATGGCCTCATTTTAAATAACTGAGCTTGAATCTGACAGGCTTGATTAGATGAATGCTAGTCTGATTTACACAATTAAACCAGAAAAAAAAGTACTTAATCCAAAAAAAAATTCCCTTTACTGGACGTGCTACAGCTAGCTGCTGCATATGAAAACCACCTGATTTTATGCAAAAAAAAAAAAAAAAACTGCAATGAAAAAATTGTGGCAGTTAGGGTTATAACGTATAATTTGTATAAATTGTTTTAAAAATGTTTCAAGTGGAGTTCAAAACATCAAAGTTCATGCTCAATAATCCAGGTACAAAATTCAACAAAGTTCCGTCAGGTCATCTGGATGGTTTCTTTTTTTAGTTGAGACATTTTGTCCTTCATTCAAAGAACTTCATCAGTCTGAGGTGCCACAAACAAACTCAGTCCCACAAGCAACACACTCACATAGTGGACGATGGATGAAGCATCTCAACAACAAAAAGAAAAAGAAAAAAAAGAAACCGCCCAGATGACCTGACTGAACTTTGTTGAAATGTTTTACCTGGATTACTGAGCATAAACTTTGATGTTTTGAACTCCACTTGAAACATTTTTAAAACAATTTATACAAATTATACGTTATAACCCTAACTGCCACAATTTTTTCATTGCAGTTTTTTTTTTTTTTTTGCATAAAATCAGGTGGTTTTCATATGCAGCAGCTAGCTGTAGCACGTCCAGTAAAGGGAATTTTTTTTTGGATTAAGTACTTTTTTTTCTGGTTTAATTGTGTAAATCAGACTAGCATTCATCTAATCAAGCCTGTCAGATTCAAGCTCAGTTATTTAAAATGAGGCCATTCAAACTGTTATCTACATCAGGTGAGATATTTATTGTTCATAGCATTTCCATTTTATTTATTTTTTTGATTTGGAAACCATACCTGAAAATGCCTTCACTGTAGGTGTGATTCAGTGTGCCACAAATCAGCAAAATAAATGTTTGACTGAAAGAGCAACTTTGAAGAGGGATGAATGAAAGTTCACACTAACTCTTATCTATGACACTTACAAAACATTTCCTCCAGTCAACTTTGCACAGAACATTAACCCTATTATCAAACAAATCATGTAAACCTATTGGGGAAATCCATTTACTGCGGAGGATACAAAACACTTTAATCAAACTATAACCATAATGTGGTTATGTGCAATAATGAAGTTACAGTGTTCCTCTAGACCTGCTGGTTCTCATCGATTCATGTGCAGCTCCTCTGACTGCACCCGCAGGCCAGCTGCCAGGCAGTCTGTCTGTCTTTACCACAATAACTCAGCCTCCACCATAAATCTCTCAAGTTCGAACCCTGTTGCCATTCCTGAACTTTCCCACACAGGTGTGAACTCGTCATCACCATGTCTTGCTCCAGTTAAGACAATGCGGGGCCTCAGCAGACCTGCTTGGTTTGTGGCTTTGCTTAGAGATGAGTTTTTTTTTTTTTTCTGATCGAAAACATGTGATAACACGAAGCCTAGAACATCTCGCTGGCATCTCACCTTTGTGATCGTATCGGGGCGTTTTTCTCTGGTTCAAGGAGAAATTTGAATACAGGGCAAAAAAATAAAAATCACATTATCTGTGCCATTTATTAAAAAGAATCATTGTGACTCGACTCTGCAGCCTCTCTTGTATTAACTTCATGTGCTCGCTGAGTTTGCGATTGATTTCCTGAATCTGAGCGCTGCTTATGACAAAGTCCTTATTGAGAGCAGTCAAAGGGAAACTGTGAGGACAGAGAGGAGGTTGCTCATGGGAATTTTACGCTGATTTATGTCTCAGCGCAAACCAATTACAGTACTTTATTTGAATAAATACTGACCTGGAAGTGACCTTTGAGTCTTTCTTCTCTTGCATGAGTTTTATTGTTTTGCACTAAGTGGAAAATTGGACACTTAGCCAACAAGTAACCTTATGGTATGTATTTATCTGCACTTTAACTGTTTAAAGGGAATAAAAACACACTGGCTGGGGTTTTATTCCCATCATTGTTTTTCTGTTTGATCTTCACCAAGTCAGAAAATTAATTTAGAAAGCAACAATAGAAGGCTGTGGATGAGAAGGATCAAGTTGTTTTGAGGCTTGAAAGTTTTTTTTTTTTAATAAACTTTCTGAATGATTGATATCATGTGCACCTAAAATACCAACTTAGATCATTTGCTCTTTTGCCATTTAAAAGCCATTAAATTATTTTATGTGTGTAGCGAGACACTTGTGATTTCTTCTATACCGGTTGTTTGTGTTGTTGAAGTTTTGCCTTTTCACAAAAGCTGGAACAAATGTGTCGAATATCCGAGCCTAAGATAATACGGTTATCTCAGAGTTCATGTGACACTTTGGTTTTTACCGGAGGGTGGAAGGAAGAGCAGTTCTCTGGAAGTCGAACTGCTTTTATTCTGTGAAATAAAAAATAAAAAAGAAAGGTTGTCGTCCTTTATCTGCTGACTTGTTTGACCGTGGGGGTCATTTCTTGTGGGATGGAAAGCTCTAATTCTGGGTACAGTCAGTGAACACTGGGCACAGAGGACAGGGAGTATAACCCCTCCCGTGTCCCTTATCCCCACCCCTTCTCTCTCTCACCCCAACTCTGGGCCAGGTGCCCACATGCCCCTCTGGTGTGCTGCTACTGATGGGGAGCCAGGATGATTATGTGCTCATTACTCCAGCCGTGGAGAGCGAAGGGGAGCGGGAGGAGAGCAGCAGGCTGGCTCCCCAGGCCTGCAGACTCCCCAGGCCCCAGCACTGCACTAATGAGAGCAAGGGGAGCGGATGGGCACACACAGGGGGCCAGGGATTACTGCCCAGGGCCAAGGGGAGCCAGGGAGAGAGACCCGAGGAGGAGCTAGCAGCAGGGACTCCTGAAGACGACCCGTTCTGCTGCAGTTGGGCGTGTGTAAAATCTGGGATTGTTGCGTTTGGGTGCAGGTGGGTCTGCTGAGACCTCTTCGACATGACTAGTTACTATTCAGGGTTCAGATCTGGAGAGCAACACGTCTTCTGTTGTCATACTGACAACACAACACAGTGAGCTCATTTTAATCACATACCAACAGACAGAAATCACTGTTGTTGAGCCAATTAACATTTCAACTAATACTACGGGTGCAAGAAGGGAAAATGTATAAAATAGAAATCGGCGTGCTCGCTGAATACCAAAAGTCCAGGAAAACAACATATTGTCACTGTGCAGATTGGGTCCATAAGGCCTGTATGCTAATCTGAGCCGGCCCTGGCCTGAGATGCTCAATTATTCAACAGACAGGTTTGTTTAGCATTCATTTGGTATTGCTTTTGCTGCTGCTGGTGGTTGTGGTATAGGAGGACAGGGGAAGGTGGGAACAAGCTTCTTCTTTTATGAACATGTCCCATTCTGCCATGCATACACAAACGTGTGCGTCATATACACACCGAAATTCAGAAAAAGAAAATCCTGCGTATCAGCTCCTGCGTTCAGTGGTTCTGCGTCTACATGAATAAATACATCAAAAGGCGCCGCAGGGGCAGGTGAGGCAGACCGGGGAACTTGTCAGCCCATCAGTAGTGACCACGCTGGACTGAAGAGGAAAGAAGACGGAGTCTACCGTATTTTCCTGAGTATAAGTCACAGGTTTTTTTTTGCATAGATTTGTCAGTCCTGCGACTTATATACGTTTCTTTTTTCATATTCATAACACAATTTTTGACTGACGCTTTAAATTTCGAAGAACTGGATGGATGCTGCGCCGCCCAGGCGAAATGAAGCTGTTATGACCATTAACTAAACGCATAATAAACACGACGGGTCAGCAGTGACACATAAATAACGCGACTTATACACCGAAGCAACTTATATGTTTTTTTTTTTTCCTCTTCGTGATGCTTTTTTTGACTGATGCGACTTATACTCTGGAAAATACGGTAATTCTTTTCTTCTAGTGTACAAAGTCACAGCCGTGAGTGCTCAGCAGATAATGATGTCCTGGCTGCTTACGTCCTCTCTCTCAGGTTGTTCAGTCACTCGCAGTAATTTGTCCATCGGTTCTTCTCCACGTCTCATTACTGAATACACCGACTTGTTCTGTTATTCTGGATTATAGAGGGGAGCTGTGACTCTAATGAGATCGAAGTGACCAGAATGTCTGACACGGAGCACCCAGCGCTCAAATTTGGTCTGATCTACACTTGACAGGGTGTGCAAGAACTACCGTCCTTGTTTCAATGTTTTATTGGAGTAATCAAGGCACCTGGTCCTGTCAGCGCTTCATAAGTCACTCGGTCGCAGGATTGTCTTAAATTATCTGAAGTGGCAAGGATTCCAGAGATGCCTTTTGTCTCCCTGCGTGTGCCTGCCGCAACCCAGAGCTCTCGGATTGCGCAACATTTTAAGCAGAGATATTAAATCAAGTGCTGCGTTTTATAAATATACTCCGTTTTGACCCATTTTCTTTTAACAGACCTTCGACTGGAAGTCCAGGGAGATTTTCTCGTTTTGCATTAGCCAGTGAACACCCGGGATCCATCATGAAATCAAAGGCTTTGGGAGAGATGAACTGAATACTGATCTGAGGTCTGCAGCCCTGCTGGGCCACTGCAGAGACAAGATCCTCTTCAAAAATGCATTCAGGAACTGGCGCTTTGATTCCAGTCAAACGCCGCGGATGAACAGACTCGGACGTGGCAACGCAGGTTGAGCTTATGGTTTAGGAAACGATCTTAACGTGCGTCAGTCTATTTAAAAAACTTTGTAGGCAATAGACACTCCAGAAACCTGATGCCTGTCTGCGCTGTATTATTCTAACCTGGGATTATAACGCCTTTGACCTTTTTCGGAGGTGATGACCAGACGTAAAGCTCACGTTGACCGCGATGAATAGCATAGTTCTGGAGTGGTTGGTTTTTTAAAGACACATGACACGGTCGGCCTCCCCTCACGTCCGCTTCCTGTTGGCGTTGACAAACAAGGCTTGGATTTCTCAGCATGCCAGGCATTCTTGTTCACCCCGTCTTTCCTGGAGTTTTGAAAGGCCTCTGAGCCTCCCACCCAGCATAAAGACACACAAAGCTGCCGGGTTATTCAGTTTGCTCTAAGCTCTCTTCCCTGTCGGCTGTTTGCCTAGTAATTCAATTCAGATGTTCAGGATCCAAAAACATGTTTGCTTGAATGAAATCCACCTCTCCACCCACACTGACCGAGGACTGTGCTTTTCTTAGCTCCAGTCCAAGTTGGACAGCCATGGAAGGTACTGCCACCACGGCCTTTTGAGCTTTAAACTTTCAGAAGACACAGACATCTGTCCCCGCTGTTCCTCAGCACCTATCTGATGTGTTTTTCCCCTTCCGAGAGCCAAATGCCTCTTAAGAGCAGCTCTGAGTGTTTGGTGCTAAACAGGCACATTTATGTAAATGGCATGATTTCTATCTATAGTATAGAAACCATCTAGTATCTGCTCCGTCATGTAGATGTTTATAGTTAAAACGTGGCTCTTGTTCCTTGTGGTTTTACGGTTTGTTTGTGGATTGTGAGACCAGAAATATAAAGCTGTGATGAACTTAAGGAATATTATTTTTACACCCAAATTTAATCAAAGAAGGAATTGATGCATTCATGTCAGGAGCCATTAATCTTGTTTTTAAATAGAAAAGTAACAAAAATTAAGAATATTTTATGCTCTTTGGTTTCAAGAGAGGCAAATTAATAAGGTGAATGTTTATGAAGCATTCACTATAGTGATCCATTTTTCTTCTGTACGTTTTTCAGCCTCTTTCTCGTTCCACAATTTTTTAAGCTATTTCAACAAATCATAAATCAAAACGTTCAGCTCTTTCAGGACAATGTTGCTATCACTTTTGGTATTGGTGCAACTTTAGCTTTTTGAAATATTTAGCCTTTTCTGACATTTTTCTCTCACAAGATATGAATTGAGCTCGGTTTACATCCTTCACATCTTTAGATCTGTTTACAACCTTTTACTGCTGCTTTCACATTTTGTTCACTTCGGTTCAGTTTCTTTGTGCAAATTTTAACTTTTTTCAGCTGTTTTCTGCTTATTTCAACTGTTTCGTGCTCCTTTCAGATTCTTTCTGCTAATTAACTACAACATTTTTGTGCTTCTTCTAACTTATTTCTGCTAATTTCAGCTTGTTATGCTCCTTTCAGCCTATTTCTGCAATTTTCAGCTTTTTATGCTATTTCAGCTACTTTTTAGCTGGTTTTATGCTTATTTTAGCTTTTTCAGCTAATTCCACAATTTTAAAAACTTGTTTCAACCTTTTTCAGCCTAATTCAGCAAAAATATGCTCTCTCAACTTCCTTCTGGTAAATTAAGCTTCTTTCTGCCTTTTTAGCTTCCTTTCAGCTGTTTTTTTTTTTTGGCTGTTATTTTGTTTTGTTTTTGCTAATTTCAGCTTTTTTCAGATAATTTCCACTTTTGTGCACATTTCTGCTTCTTTCAACCTAATTGGGCAAAATTGTGCTATCTCCACTTCCTTCTAGTAAATTAAGCTTCTTTCTGCTTTATTCAGGTGTTTTGGACAAATTTCAGCCTTTTCCAGATTATTTCCATTTTTTGTGCTATTTCTGCATCTTTAAGCCTAATGGGCACACTTGTGCTCTCTCCACTTTCTTCTGGCAATTTAAGCTTCTTTCTGGTGCTTCATCTACTTTTCAGTAATTTCTTGCTAATTTCAGCTTCTTCTTTTTAGTTAATTTACAAACTTTTGCGCTCATTTCTGCTTATTTAAACCAAATTCAATGTTCACATGTTCTTTCTGCTTTCTTCTGCTAACTTAGGCTTGTTCTTCCATTTCAGCTACATTTCAGCAGGTTTTTAGCTCATTTCAGCTGTTTTTCAGCAAGTTCTTCAGCAATAAGCATTCACACTGCATTTTCGCAGGAAATGCAATTTCTCTAGTTTGAATTAGCTCAAACTTCTGCTGGCTGACTGATTTATTTGATTGAAGTGCCCGTTAAGGAAGGCTTTACTTCTGAGTTCCTCTTACAGGTCGAACTCAAATCAGACGAGTTTTACACGTCTGGAACCGGCACTCTTTTTTTCTCCACTTTCTCTTGAACCACTGCACCAAAAAAAGGCAAAGTAGTGCCTTGAAACTTATGTTTATATTGCACGATTCATGTATTCCAGGATATGAATAATTAACGGGCATCATTTCAAATTCTCACTGAACTGCTTCCCAAAATGTGTTGGCACCCAGGTCTGGAGGTCTCCAACAAGTCTCACAACAGTGGGAAAATTCAGGCGTATTGTACACGAAGTAGAACAACAAAGCAAAGCTCAAATATACATGACATATGGGAGCTGGGAGTTTAACCCAGCAAGTAAACTTTATTCTGCAGTGGACTTTATTTTGTGAGCGTTGCCTCGTGGGCTCGAGGTGTGCAGAAATCAAAATGTCCTGAGCAGAGCCATCTTAATATAGACGTGCTTAACAGGAGTCAATATTGTCTTCTCTCGTTTGCCAAAGTTTATAAAGGCAGATAAAAGTTTGTTTTGACCAAAAAAAAAAAAAAAAGCTATGATTTGGAACAATTCTGAGCAGCGTGAAGCCAACGAGAGTACAGAAGTCTCAATGCCAACCTTGTTCCCCAGCAGACCACGTTGGAGAGAGACAGAGGTTGAGAAAGGGGGTGGGGGTGGGGGGTAAGGATATTGAAGAAAGGTTAGCCTGGAGGAACAAGCCTCCTTTCTCCCCTCCCACCCCTTGACCCTCCCATGTGACAAGTTGAGCCAACAAGTGGTCTATTCAGCCAGGCAGCCAGGGGAAATGGCTGCTCGGCTGAGCGCTGCCTAATGAAAGTAGAGACGCTTGTTATTATTATTGTCCTCGTCATTCCCACCCCAAACACTGGCCACATCGTGGCATGGACCTGGGCTTTAATAAAAAAAAACTTTTTGTCCCTTACATCAACACTTATCTTAATTTCTATGCAGAGTTTTAAATGTTTTTTCCAACACTAGTCACATTTGTAACGTCTCATGGTGGCGATCACGCTCAGACACAGTGGAAGGCGATGGCTGCTCGTGTTTATGGTTTTATCCACCGTCCTGGTGGTGGTTGTTTGTGGCTCACTGGTGCAACTTTTGGACTCGGTGGCACCGTTGTTTTTCTTGTTGGACTGAACAAACAGTCCTCCCCTCGACTAAATGACCGTAATGATCTTGGCATGTGTCTGCAAGGCTTTAAAATGCTCCCCGCCGCCGGTTCAGATTGCATCACAGGGCCAGCCGCACGCATAAACTGTGATGTTTACTACGGAGGACGTTTAAAAGTGACGGCTCTTTCAGTCCACACGTTTCTTTTTACTGCTGTGGCAACCAGTTTGGTGTCATTTATGAGGATAAACCAGGCAACCACAGAAATGCCACTCAGTCTCAATTGTCCCATGTAAAACACTTGTTGCTCACTTTAAGCTTGATGTGTCTTTTTCTTTAGTCCAATAAAGTCCCCGTGGTACAGCACGCCCACCATGTCCACCCGCTGACGCCCCTCATCACCTACAGCAATGAGCACTTCTCCCCCGGCACGCCGCCATCACACCTCTCGCCAGAGATCCTCGACCCAAAGACAGGTAAGACCTCTGCTTATGATGAACTAATAGCATAAATAAAAGCTGTGCACCAGTAAAAGATGGCTATGAAAATTATATTTTAAGTGTTTATTGTGTTAAAAGATTCCTACACTCTGGAAGCTAGCTAGTATGAAATTAGTTTATTTCTGTATGAAAGTATGAAAAAAGACAATGTATGGAAACATTTTCTGTTTAATCCTGATTCCATTTTCTAAATGACACAAATCTTGAGTTTCTCTAAATAAATTGCTCAAATTGAGTTGTTCTTCTTTATTATAAAAACAAATAATCCACCATATTTGTCGCCGTAAACGTCACACAGCCGTATAATCGCATCCGTCTAAATATGTCTAATAAAGTGGGGGGGGAAACATTAATAAGTCGCTTTGCCGTATAAGTCACATCTATTATGTGTCACCGCTGACCACCTGGAAACGTGGGCCGGTGTTGTGCCAAAAATCAATCGGCTGCCAAATGGCGGCCGCGGAAGTGTGCATGCGAGGAGTTTAACAAGAATGTAACAAGCTTAACACTTAAAAACAATTTGTTTGCTTGAAACTATATCAAAGGTGTGTCTCAGTTGAACTTTTCCTTAATAAATGCACTTTGACGGTCAAATCAGCTGCATTTCAAAAGCCGATTTGTGGCTGCAGGAGCATGCACCGGAGGACGCTGTGCATTTCTTCCAAATTTAACAAGAGAACCACCTACAAACAATTATTTGTTTACTCGAAATTATCTTAAAAAATTGTGTCTCCGATTAACTTTTCTTTAATAAATGCACTTTAATGGTCAAATCAGCTGCATTTCTCCTGGGCGGTGCGGCGATATGAAGCTAATTTGACGTTTGCTCCAGGAGTTCTAGAGCGAGACAAAGGTGGCTGTATATGGCAAGCCGAGTGTCTCATTAATAGCCACTTTTACCTATTAATGGAACACTTGGCTTGCCATAATGGTCGAGGACCCTCTAGTGGCTGAAAATGGTAGTGTTCAATATTTTCCATGTCAGAATGAATGAAATCGTCAGATCTCAGCCACAAATTTGGTTATAAATATGTCGCTTCACTGAATAAGTCGTAGGCATGCTAATTTATGCAAACAACTGTAACTTATGCAGCGAAAAGTATGACGTGCTACATAATGCAGTCTGTTTGTCATGTGGAAATAGAAAACGTCACATTCACAAGTTCAGCCCTGAAGCATATTCAGCCTTTCTGTTTTACTGAATTAAAACAGATTTACTAAATAAACCTTATGCTGTTTTGAAGAGAGCTTGAACTGTTTGATTGAAACCATAAATTTATCACAAAAGAGCCAACGATATTGTTGATTCTTCCCGTGTACACCGTGTTGTGTAATTCCAAGCAAGTGTTTGTACTTTTTCATCAAAAGAGGCCTAAAACTGGCCAGAAACCTGTGAGTTTGAAACCTGTTTAAAGAACAGGAAGCAGTTTTTTTCCATGGATATTTAACCTGATTTAGACCTTACTCTGAATAAGATGCTGTTATTAGATCCTTTGCACATTAAGCAGCGTCATAGCACTGTTATGTCCTGAAGTTTTCACATCTGGTGACACACACGGAGCATATCTTGGTCCAATTAACGTAGGGAACTTTGGGCTTTTTGTGGGGTTGCCTTCAAAGACTGGACAAGAATGAATCTGTGCAGAATAGGCGGCTGTGGGTAAAAAAAAAAAAGACATTTGAGAAGAATAAGAATCCAGAGCACAACATGTTTGACTTATTTCTCAGTTGGTTCCTCTGACATGTAAACGCAAATAAGAACAAAACATCCTGATGACAGAAGACAACAACGGAAGTAGTGATAAAAAATGTAGCTTTATCACACACAGCTGATTCTGTTACCTCAATTCTCAACAATTATGACACATTTTCCTAAAACCGTTCACATGAAAACCCAGCTACTGTCTCTGATGTGGTTTGGGAACACATTTTCATACCCGTTTTATTATTTAACAAGTTGTACATTTTGAAAAGATTTGAAGTCAACCTACTGAATACACCATAACTAACCAAAGAAATAAAGAACCAGTTCATATTTGACGTCTTTTCAGGTCATTTAGCAACACCTTGCTAATAACACTAAACATAAATGTTTAAAGTTGTGTAAAATTCTGCCAGTTCAGCAGGTGTGTACCGTATTTTTTGGCCTATAAGTCGCAATTTTTTGTATAATTTGCATGCCCTGCGATTTATAGGCCGAAGCGACGTATTTATGGATTTTTTCCCATATTTATAAACCAGGCAGCACGGTGGCGCAACTGGTAGAGCTGCTGCCTCTCAGCGAACAGGTCCCTGGTTCAAACCCCGGTCCAGGGGCCTTTCTGGGTGGAGTTTGCATGTTCTCTCCGTGCATGCGTGGGTTTTCTCCGGGTGCTCCGGTTTCCTCCCACAGACCAAAAACATGCATGTTAGGCTGATTGGTGACTCTAAATTGTCCCTAGGTGTGAGTGAGAGAGTGAATGGTTGTTTGTCTCGTTTGTCTCTATGTGGCCCTGTGATGGACTTGCGACCCGTCCAGGGTGTACCCCGCCCCTCGCACAGTGATTGCTGGACATGGGCACCAGCGACCCCCGTGACCCAAAATGGAATAAACGGGTAAACATAATGGATGGATGGATGGATTTATAAACCAAATTTTGGCTGAGATACGTTTTCATTCATTCTGGCTGAAAAAAAGAACAGTACCATGTTCAGCCACTAGATGACAGCAGAGTAGTAAGGCATGCCGTTGTATCATGTAAGAGATAAAAGTGGCTATAATGACAAATTCAAAAAAGTTCAATACAAAAACAATTGGGCTTCATTTATTATATTTTACTTTATATTTTTATTGTTTTTGTCTTGAACTTTTTTTGAAATTACCATGTTCTGGATGACTGAGAATCTTCACCAGCTATTAATGACACAACCGGCTTGCCATAGACTGCCGCCTTTGTTCTGCTCGCTGCTTGGAGCAACCATCAAACCAGCCTCATTTCGCTGCACCGCCCCGGCAAAATGCAGCTAATATGACCATTAAAGTGCATTTATTGAGTAAAAGTTCAACTGAGACACACCTTTACTATAATTTCTAGCAAAAAAATAATTGTTTTAGGAGCTTTTCTTGTTAAATTTCAAAGAAACGAGCAACGTATACGGCGAGGCGACATATTTATGGATTTTTCCACTTTTTTAGACATAGTTGGACTGATACGACTTACAGGCAGGGCAGCCGGCTCGGGACCTAAAAGTCCCAGGTTCGATCCCCGGTCACTGCATACCTCGTGATGTCTCTGGGCAGCTCAACTTGTCCCCAAAATACACCCCCCCCCCCCCCGGGGGGGGCAATTTCAATAGCTGCCCACAGCAACTCGACCACTCTCCCAAATGGATGGGTTAAATGCAGACTAATTTCGCAATGGTATGGAAACATACAGTGATGACAATGTGATGACATTATTATTATTATTATAGGATGATGCGACGGATACGGCAGAAAATACAGCACTCATTTTTAAATTTCTTCTTCTTTGCCTTCTTCTTTTGTACTACTTTTAGGTATCCCTCGAACGCCTCATCCATCAGAACTTTCTCCGTACTACCCTCTGTCCCCCGGTGCCGTCGGTTCCATTGCTCATCCTCTGAGCTGGTTCATGCAGCAGTAAGTGTTTCGTCTCATAAACTGCACGCACAAATGATTATTTTTGTTTTTAATATTCACAGACACGCTTTTTGAACAGACACAATTATGGTCTCAAAACAGTTTTGGCGTTATGGGCGCCTGCCCTGAAGAAGCGTCGCTGAGTTCAGGTGCAGATAATAAATTAAAACATCTGAGTTTACCAGGTGGAGTTTCCAAACATTTATGGGTTTTTCTCCGGGTCCGCTAATCGATTGCAACGGTTCTGCTCGGCGAGCAGGAGATTTGAGTTGATGAGTGGAGGATTAGTGCTGGTGGGTTAGCCGTCAGCTGCGTTTGATCCACCTCGCACTGGAGCTTTCACTCACCCTGTCCGCCTCTGTCTCCCAGGCAGGGCCAGCCCATGTACTCCATCCCTCCGGGGGGATTCCGTCACCCCTACCCTGCGCTGGCGATGAATGCCTCCATGTCCAGGTGAGCGGCTCATGTTCAGCAACACGACCACTCTCCCAAAGGCAGACATCGGATACATGCTGCTTCTATGACACGCTCTAATCACATTTTCCTTGCTTTTTTTTTTTTTTTGCCAAACAGTAACAAAATAAACAGCCAGACTACAGGTTTAAACTTTGTTTTCTTGAGAGTATATGGCGTTTTAAAGGAGGTATTCGCCTGTATGAGTAGGATTTGAAGCACAAACTACAAAAACATTCTTCACCTTGAACAACGTATTGTCAGATCAGGATCGGTGTCGGGACTACAAAAGAGATGCGAGTTGTGAGAGTGAGAGACGGGCTCAGCTTCTTAAAAAGACTGAACACGTTATTGGCATTCAGGACTCCTCGCCTGTCTTCTCTCAGAGCTAAACTTCTGTGGTCAGGCTGGTGTTCTGAGCCTCTACACACACACACACACACACACACACACACACACACACACACACACAGCAGAGATGAAAGGGCTGCGAATCGATTAGGACAAATCAAAGCTTATCTGAACCCACGTGTCCCATCAGACCGAACTCTCTGGCCCGCTGTCAAAATTGGAAAGATTTGTAACGAGGCTTCCGGTGCTAGTGTGAGATGAAATATTCAGAAGGCTCTCTGTGATCAATAGCTCGTGCTGCTCCATCCTCAAATGAACTCACAACAATATCAAAACACGCCTCGTGCAAGTTTTTTTTTTTTAAACACCGCTAGAAGAATTAGACTTACCTCTACTGATTGCATTGTTCATTCCATGAGCTTTTAAATATGTTTTAATACCATGTAAGGATTCACAAAAATGTTTTTATTAGAAAGCAAAAATGAAAAAAAAAAGTCATAAAAGTGGATGACGGATGAGGGTTTGTAAAAACAGATGCAGCTTTTAAAAACCTTAGACCGGAAGCCAATTTATTTGGTTTGTGATAAAAAAAATAAAATAAAAACGCATGATCGCATCTTATTTTGAAGTTAAGCCTTGGAGTTTGAGATCAGTACACAGTTGTTACAGTTTAATGTAGATGTAGAATAGAATAAACCTTTATCATCATTGCACCTAAATTTAATTATTTATTTACCCTTTATTTATCCAGGTAGTCTCACTGAGTCACGAGAACTCATTTTCAAGAGAGACCTGTTTTGGGAGAAGGTGGTGGGGGTTAAAGGCCTTGCTCAAGAGCCCAGAGTGAGGCAAATGAGAGTGGAGACATGTTGGGGTGTTTCACCTTTTCCACCCACATTTTGATGTTGTCAGTCCGGGGAGTTGGACCTGCGACTTTCTGATCACAGGCCCATCTTCTCTAACCTCTGCACCACCACTCCCCAGCTAATACAACGAAATACTAATGCCAACTTAATACTACAATATACTAATACTAACTAAATACAACAAAATACTAATACTAACTTAATGCAACAAAATACTAATACTAACTTAATGCAACAAAATACTGATACTAACATAATACAACAAAATACTAATACTAACTAAATACAACAATATACTAATACTAACTAAATACAACAAAATACTAATACTAACTTAATGCAACACAATACTAATACTAAATTAATACAAAGAAATACTAAACCTAACTTAATAGAAAGACATATGAATAATAACTTAATACAACAAAATACTAATACTAACTTAATACAACAAAAATCCTAGTACTAACTAAGTACAACGAAATACTAACTTAATACAACAAAAT